TGACCAACAGCTAATAATTCAAAGAACGATTCTGCTCCAATTAACATATCTATTCTTTGTGGCTTGTAGAAATAAGGGTCTGCCAGTGGTAGGTTCTCTGGGATTCTCCAGTCAGTCACATTCACTGACTGGTCAGGGTGATAACCTGAAATTGATTTCAGGATCCAAAAATCAAAGGAGAACTCACTACCATTTATTCGCGACTTCACCACTGTGTGTATTTTATCCTTTACTTGAGAATTAGATTCACCAATTCCAAGCAAGTTAATACAGGACTCCTCTCTACGGATCTGTAAGCGATTAGCGGGGTCCTCGGTAATGAAATTTGTTTGTGATCCAGAGTCGAGCAGCAGTCTGGCCAGAATGTGTTCACCGCTCTTAGTTCGGACGCTTACGATCGACGTAGCCAGAATTACCCTGTCCAACGCTGTCGCATGCAAAACATGTGACGTGGAAGGTTGATTCTGATTTGATGGAGGAGAAAAACTCTCTTGGGGTGGTGGCAACGCGAGACTATTAGCCGACACTGTGTATCGATGCAATAATGTATGAGCGGCTGCACACTCGACATTTATTGGCTTTGCATTTTACAACAGCGTGGCCTTTTCGCAGACAATTAATGCATAGGGATGCCGACTTAGCAAACTCAAACCTTTGCATCACCGAGAGACGCGAAAATGGAGGTCAATTTGACACTAAATGGTCTCCTGAATTGCAGTAGCTACAAGTTTGCTGAGTTCTACTGTTGGTGGAATTGGAAGAACAAGCAAATGAACTGCGATTATGTTGCTTGCTTGGCATGACTGTCTTGCCTTGGCTTGGTCGATTCTTCAGCAGACAGATGCTGGTATCGACGATTCAAGACTTTCTCAAAGTCGGACCAAAGCGGCAACTTCTCATAAGTAAGCTGTTCATCCCACTTTTGTTTCGTCACTGGGTCGACTCTGTTTAAAACGAGATGAATGAGTATTGCATTCGAAATTTTTGTATCATCTCCGATCGACAGTAAGATCCGTAAATCGACGAAACAGTATCGATTAGAGTTCTTAGGGCTCGCGCACACTATAGCTGAAAGCGGAGCTGAAATCAAAGCTGAAAGCTCAGCTGATCTGAGAGCTTTTCTCAGGCAGAATCAGCTTGCAGGTGCGTACATTGTCGGCTGATCTGATTGCTGAAAGCTGAAAACCACTGCCTCCCTTTGTCTATCTCCTTAAGTGGCATCAATAGATATCATTATAATTATTATTATTATATTGTTAATGGATTATTACTTCACAGCACGTACACAGCCACGCGGAAGTTTTCTTCGTTTTTTTTTTAAGTTAGTGTATTTTAACCACATTTCCGTTGAGTTTGTATTCGTATTACTTTTTTTTACGAATTATTATTACATTTTTACATTACATTGGTAATGGTAAATAATAAAACTTTATTGCCCAATTTATCGCCTTCCAGAAATTATAGAACTAAAACTATTATTCAAATATTTTTAATAGTCCCGCTTATTCCCCAGCGCTGGGTTAACCGCAATTTCGCTTAAAAATGTTTTGCAGCCCATTTTCGATCACTTATGAACCAATACACACGAACAAAATAAGCAATCAGCTTGTTGAAAAAACAAACATGCTTGATCGATCAAACTAAGCTGAGCTGATTTCAGCGAGCTTTTTCAGCTTTCGGCTCAGCTCAGTCTGCAATGTGCGCACTTGCACCGGTGCAGTGTGTTTGTTTTTTCAGAGCTTATAAATCAGCTATCAGCTCCGCTTTCAGCTACAGTGTGCGCGAGCCCTTAGAGATGATGCAGATTGATGCGATATTCTCGGCAGATTGAAAAATGTGAAAATATTATTCGTGAAAATCAAATAATCGTTGTCATATACTCGTTTTAGGCCAGCCATGGACTTTTCATAATTTGCCTCGGTGACTTGGAACGCCTTTATTGTTCCTAATGCTTCATCAGAGAGGCACGAAATCAAACGATTAAATTTTTCGATCACCGGTATGCTGTTGTCGCTATGGACTAGTCTCTCAAAAAGGCTAATGAAATTTTTGAATTCCGAGTGTTTACCACTAAATTTGGGTAATGCCAATTTCGGAAGTCTAGCATGAGTTGGGGCATGAGAGCATGAGAAGACATTGGCTTCGTCTCGCTTGCTGCATCAAAGGCGGCGATAAGCGACATTATCTTTCCCTTGGTGACAATCGTCAGCTCTTCCAACTCGGCTGCATATGCATCATCACCTGTTATGTCCTCGATTTGCTCCTGCAAATGGTTAGCCTTTTCAATTGAAGCATTCAAACAATCTAATCTACATTGTAATTCCGGTAATTGCAAAGGAATCGACCCTTGATCTAATCGATCCTCTAAGCGGCGAATGCTTTTTACTCGACTTTTGAGCTTAATCTTTAAGTCTTCAAGAGTGGACTTACTGTTTTCTGCCATAATATTTGTGTATGAAGTTTTTACGCAACAAACCACTATTATTTCTATTTATTTATTTATTATTATTATTATTATTTTTTTTTTTGTAATGTTTGAACGAGAACGATAATCGAAAACGAATTTTAATTGAATGTCGAGGCACGAGGTATCAAGTGAAAGAGTAGTTGCAAGTGACGGCCGAAAACAATATACCCGTTAGATACAGGGTAGCGCGTCACTTGGCGCACCGTTAAGCTCAAGAGCTGCAACGAAAATTCTCCCAACAAATACAACGCAAGCAGCAGTGGAGAAGCGAAAACGAAATAATGCACCGGTGCTGCTGCTTGTATGTATGTGTGGATATTTTCTATACGCCGTGGCTTGGGTGAACGAACGAGGTTCGTTGTGAGGTTCTAACGACGAGAAAGGTAGAACAAAATAAAGGGGGGAGGGCGACAGTGATTGCAGTAAACGATAGATGTATGTACATATAACTGTTGCGTCCAAATAGCGGTTCACATACGTCTGTATGGGTCGATATGTATGTATTTATGTGTGTTTAGTTATATTTATGCAATTACTAATAAAATGCATGCAATCAAGCTCTACTATATGTATATCATACGTCTGTGCCTAGAATTGAAGGCGATGTGCAATGTTTTCAGCACAAGACACCTCAAGGAGAGATCTGAATGTCTTTTGCTCAGCCTTCAATTTTCTGCACAAATACCTCTGATTCCTCTTTTGGATCTTTGAATCCAACTGCTACTTTCCTGGCTTTATCGCAGGGCATCCCTCGGCGGTAGCAGAAATTTGCACAAAAATTATTCTTGGCGCGACCGACGCGATGATATTATGCAAATTGATTGCCGATTGACACACACACCACGACGCGGGCAAACGAATATGTTTGCATATACTGCAATTTCTTGTGTCACTGTCACTTATTGTTGTTGCCTATAATTAACTTTACAGTCCACCCGGGGGCGCCATGAAAAATTAGAAGAGTTTTTCTAATGAATTAACCGAAAACTTTGGGTGGCTGTAATTTAAATTATTTATTCGGCGGGGTGAAAAATTGATACGCTCGATCTATTTCAATGTTAGCAAACAACTATATTTCCTTCAAAATTCAAATCTCTTACTCTAGCTATCCTACGGTGGCAAAGCGGGCGCAATAAAAGCTCGCTCTCTCGCTCTTGGCGAATTCGCCCCGCTTTGCCCTAGCCTAATTTACACTAGACTTCATAATTAAGATCAATAACTAATAATCGCCGCCATGGATGGAAGGTCACGCAACAGAAAGTGCGTAATTAAAGATCAAGACATCTTAACTGAAACACCTACATTGAAGGTGTGTATGCTCTTATGAGCACAGTCTGCGCTGTTAAAAGCAAATTTGTGCTGTTATGCGCAAAAATGTATTTCTTGCCAACGATAACAAAATCGGACTGCGTCAGGTGTTTGTATGAATCCGAAAACTGCCGTTGCCCTGACCAATTATTTCCGACCCAAAATTTGAGGTTGGGTCAAGAAAATATTATTTATAAAGAAGGCACAAGCTAAATTGCCCTGATAATGGTGTAAAACAACATTTGTAAATGTATCAATAGGTCATCTATTTTTTTTAAATTTTCTATCAAGATTCGGTTTGTTGTATAAAAAGCGGTTTACTTTTCATTTCGTCGTGGATAATTCTTTTGTTTTGAAAACAGAGAAATCTTGCGGAATGTAAACATTTATTTGATTTCATGGCTCGGAAAAATTTTGTGAAAGTGAAAACCAGGTATATACATGATTAGAGATGGATTATCTGCTTTGTCCGTGTCCTAAAGGTCGAACTGTTTCACAGCATGGCGATTTGTAAGTGTAGTTGACGGTTATTGAGTTAGATAATATAAGAAGGAATAAAGAATATAGCGGATGTGTCTTTTATTGCTACTGTCTTCAATTAGATCACACTGCAGTTTGTCGGTAGCTAATAATATTGAAAACGAGCAGAAATATGTGAGTTGCAACTAGGCCCCAACTCTACATTTGTAGCCAGAGTGGTGCGCCCTGCACTGCACCAGGAAGAGTGTGTGGAAGAGAGGGAATGAGTTAGCGCGTGGAAGGCGTTGCGTAGTCATTGCAAATTAATTTGTTCATTGTGGCTATAATAATATCCCGATCTGATCCTGCATTCGGCAATCTGGTAGATATGGTCATTCTACATGATTCTGCGTTTTTATGCTTTTCTCGTATCTTTGAAATTGTGGATGCCACAGTTTTTCGTCCTTTGTGGGGGCGAAGGTAGGCGTGGCAAAATTGTAAAAGAAACCTGATTCAGTGTAATATCACAGAAGTCTGGATACAAAATTTCGTTGCTCTATCTCTTATAGTCTCTGAGACTTGGAGTCAAACCAGACGGATTGACAGAATATATGTATATTATGGAGTCGGAAACGCTTCCTTCTGGGTATAACATCCATCCAACATCTCATCCCAATACACATCCACTTTTACCACAAACCTAATAGACCCTTATACCCATTTTGAGTATCGGGTATAAAAATCGCACTTATAATAAGTTACTTACGCCTGCAACAGTATTAATTAAATTACATCCAAGGCTTAAAATAACAAGTTTTTCAAGCGCATCCATATTCTCAATTTTTTCGATCCGGTTATTAAATAGCGATAAAACTTCAAGATTAACAAGTTTTTCAAGGTTTTCTATTTTTTCAATGTAGTTAAAACTTAGGTTTAACTCCGTTAGAGCAGGCAGCATTTCCATATTTTCAATCACTTCAATTTTATTACAGTTTAAACTGAGCTTGGTAAGATTTGGAATGATCCACAAATGATCTATGCGTAATATATCTGTAAAATAAAATAGGTTTAGTTCGAAGGATTCCAATTGTTAGTTTACGCAGTTCAATATTAGCTATAATAAATATATAAATTTATATATATATTTTTGCCAGTGGTTCAGCAGTAAAGTATATCCTTTTATTATTGTTTGTTATTTAAACTGCTGATTGTATTTTTTATACCCGATACTCAAAATGAGTATTGGGGTATATTAGATTTGTGGTAAAAGTGGATGTGTGTAACGTCCAGAAGGAATCGTTTCCGACCCCATAAAGTATATATATTCTTGATCTGCATCAATAGCCGAGTCGATTGAGCCCTATATGTCTCTCTGTCTGTCCGTCCCTATGAGCGCCTAGTGCTCAGAGACTATAAAAGCTAAAGCAACGACATTTTATATCCAGACCTCTCTAATATGTCACTGTTACAAGTGTATTTCAAAACTTCCCCCCGCCTACTTCTGCTCCCACGAGAGGCGAAAATCTGTGGCCTCCACAATTTCAAAGATACGAGCAAACTAAAAACGCAGAATCGTAGAAGATGACTATATCTTCTAGAGTGCAAAATCTGAACCAGATCGTATAATTATTATAGCCAGAATCAAGAAAACAATTTCATTCTTTCTCGCTCTGTCTCTCTCTAACACACAGGTTTCATGGTCGGTTTTGCCAATTGCAAAATATGAGTTCAAGGATCTCAGAACCCATAAGAGCTAGAGCAACCAAATTTAGTATCCACACTCCTGTGATATCGGACCTTGACCGTTTTATGTCAAAATTTCTGCGTTTTCAGTTTTCTTGTATCTTTGAATTTGTGGATGCCATAGATTTTCGCCTTTTGTGGGGGCGGAAGCAGTGACATATCACAGAAGTCCGGATATAAAATGTCGTTGCTGTAGCTCTTATAGTCTTTGAGCACTAGGCGCTCATAGGGACGGACAGACAGACAGAAGAATATATATACTTTATGGGGTCGGATCCGATTCCTTCTGGACGTTACACACATCGATTTTCACCACAAATCTAATATACCCCAATACTCATTATGAGTATCGGCTATAAAAAAAATTAAGGTGGAGCTCGGATTACCAATCGCCCAGGCGTGTGAACCAAATTTTGAACCAATTTAACCTCACATATCAAAACAGAGTTGGCAAACCTCGCTTAGCTAAGCGCCAAAAAGATGTGTGCATGGCCTTTTTGGGACATCGAGATTAAAAATGTAATTTTTAGTGATAAAAAAATTGAATTTAGACGACCCAGTACCAAAAGCACCTTGTGCTAGAAGCAAAATTGTTGGAATACCCAGCAAAACGTATATAAGGAACGACTCCTGGGTCAGTTGGTCTCTTAGATCCGCGAATCCGCTCTAGAACCACGAGGTAGGGATGGGTAGATTTGCGAAATTTGTAATTCTAGAACTGGACAAAATCGCACATAGTGGATAATGGCTTCTGAGCTAACTCCAAATCTACCAAAATTCGCTGAAAATTCAGAATCGTGGTCGTGAAAAGAAATTAATTACGTAGATCATGTGGAAAACATTGGATTAACATTTAACAATACGCTTTCTTAGAGTAGCCAGGTAGTGAAAGCTACTGGTAAAACATATAGTCTACTAAGACAACTCGCACCAACACAAAAATTCTTACCAGATATACTCAAACTAATGATAGCTAAGACATATTTGACACCCACCTTATTCTATGGGATTGAGATATTTGGAAATTGTGACGCTCAATCTTAAAAAAAGGTAACAAATGTTAAATAACAACATTGCCCGATACATATATAATAAAAGACTAATCGATCATATCTCAATCTTAGCAAGACAAATATGGATTTAAGGACATCGATCGGGTACAGAACAATTATTTTTCTACATCGAATAACCTATACCAGACAGCAGAGCTACTTATATGATAAATTATATAATTATATGATATATAAATTATGTGATAAATTTACCTTTGCTTCATCAAATAGAACGTTGAATCTTGTAAGCATAAGGTACAAACTTGCCAAGTCAGGAAAATAATTTTAAAAAAATGCTATTCTGGAATGGAACGAGTTACCTTTCAACATTAAAAGTATTAGTACAGCAACGCAATTTAGGGAGAAAGTAGAAAAACACTTGATAAACTCTTAAAAAAATAAAAAAAAAACAAAAAAAAATAAATAAATATTAACAAAATAATAAAAACTAAAACAATTTCATTTTCTCTCGCTCTGTCTTTCTCTAACATCATCTCATCTCTCTAACATCTTTCTCTAGATATCAGAGACTATAAAAGCTAGAGCAACCAGATTTGGTATCCATAGGTACCTGTGGTATCCTGTGATATCGGACCTTGGCAAGTTAGTTTCAAAATTTCGGCACACCCCCTTTCGCCCCCGCAAAGGACGAAAATCTGGGGCATCCACAAATCTCAGAGACTATTAAGGCTAGAGTAACCAAATTTGGTATCCATACTCCTGTTAGATCTCACTATAAAACGTGTATTTCAAAATTTCGCCCCACAAAGGAAACGAGAAAAAAACGAGCAATCATAAAAATTGACCATATCTATCAGATTGCTAAATCTGGATCAGATCGGATAATTTTTATAGCCAAAAGGATTAAATCAACCGACGATACACTCAGACCGATTTTCTGTCTCTCTCGCACGCACTCTTTGACGTGCCATTTAATATTAGCGGCGTCTGCCGGAGGAGAGCCATACTGACTAAGTATCGGGTATAAATGTAGAGTGGCAGCAGTAGCAACTCACATCGTTCCCCCACGTTTTTATCAATAAAGATAGTTTAATGGTCAATTTCACTATAAAAATGCCTGGAAAAGCTGAAGATGGTTTTTGATGCTGCAGCTGAATACGGGCTAAAGATGAAGTGAAGGAGGTAGGTTATCAAGTTGGAGGAGGTGAAATCAAGGCAGAATTGCCGAAAACCAAAACCAACCAACATCAGCAAGTTCCCGATGACAAGAAACATAAAGGCCGTGCTGTCGTTTTTAGGATAAGTTGGGTTTTTCCGTAAATTTATCAGTATATGCTAATCGCCAAACCATTGACGAATCTGCACAAAAAGATTTTTAATTTAAAATTAGTCTGGAGGAGCTGCAGGCTTTTGCTACATTAAAGGAATGATTGGTGACAGAGCCGATCTAATGCAGGAATCTAAAAATCGTGATACACACTGATGCGCCGAAGGACGGGTATGCAACGGTGTTGTTATAGTGGTAATTGCATCCGAGTAAAAACACCCCGAAATCTGAAGCACGACAGTATATCTATATACAAGAAGCCAAGGCAATTTTCCTCGCGTGCAAAAAATTCAGTCAGTACATACTTGGAACAAACTTTAAGCTTGTAACGGATTGAGCTGCTTTTAAGCAAACTCTAAGTAAAAAGGATGTTCCGCGGGAGGTAGCCCATTGGGTCCTGTACCCGCAGGACTACGATTATTACGTGCAACACAGAGCTGAAGCATGTGGATTTCCCGAGTAGGTACAGAACACCGCAGAAAAGAAGAGGAACAGCAAAAGAAGAAATAACTTAAGCATCGGCAGTATAAATCAGCCGTGCTTAAGCCGTAAGCTTAACACTTATTATTCTCCTACATACCAGACTACCGCGATTTAATAATATCAATAAACTAATCCGCGTATGTTACATACATATAAATGATAGCTCATATGAAAGCTTGATGAGTTCTACAACGCTTGAGCTGAAATTTGGCCAAATCATAAAATTCAGTCCCAGGATGGCTATATTTAAAATGGAAAAAAGACCGCGGAACATGGCGATTTAAATTTTTTGTATGAACTAGGTCTTTGCAGGGCTGTCAAACGTTTTCTAACCAAAAAAAAAAAAAATAAAATTGTTGAGTATTAGTATTATAATAAAAGGAAGTGGTGGATATAATATGGTAAAATGACTCGGGGGGCAGTCAGCAATATTCGATCTCAACGTAGATTTTAAGTACAAGATAATATTTGACAAGCGGGAAGAAATCATCAAGGGATGATTTGTATCGAACAGAGTTTCAATACGATTGCTCAATTGATTACGCTTCACCGCATTTCGTTCGTATTAGTGAAATGAACGTAGTTTATTAGCATAGTGGCGCATTAAAGTTTTCGGAACAAACAAGCTTAAATTGCCAGTCAAACCATTGCTGCGAAACAGCAGAAAAGGGCTGATGAGCTCTGCTCTGAGAGCTGAGCAGCTCGGGGAGACGAGATATGGAGCTGGGAGCGCGTGTGATCGCAAAAGGGACCGAGACTCAAGTTATGGATAAGTTGCCTTCTGTGCAGAGTTCTTAGAGCGTAATTTAGCGATGCATGAGTAGGTAGGGAAGTACGTAAAAATAGCAAAATTGAAGTTCAACAACTTATTCTACCCTTGTATTATAGGGTTTACAGGTACCGATTCCGAGTGTATTTTTCCTACGCTTCCCGCTATTGCCCACTAGCAATAATAACGGTTGCTCCCACTGTACGCTGGGTATTTGTGGTCTTAATAAAACCTTTCACTGTCCCCAATAAAGTACTTTTATTTATATGCTGCGATTCGCATATATATTGCCTGCTTTTAAGTTCAAATGTCATATTAATTAATATTTATACTCCACTTTATAGGAACAAGTGAACTCCAGAAGAGCTAATTGGATTTGTATGTCTTTTGTATGTCTTTTTATAAACTTACTTTTAAACTCCAAGCGAATTGATGTAATTTGATCTAATACAACGGGTTCCATTTTATGTAGGCGTCGCTCTTCACCACGATATGCATCTTGCAAAAAGGAGTTCTCAATCATTATTCGATTAATAATACCAGGTTCAATATCGGGATAAATAACTTCCTCAAGGAGAGGCTTGTTACTATCGTCTCCTTGTTTAATATAATCATTTTCCATATTAGATACACAATCAGATTAGCACAAAAAGAAGTTTGTTGTGAAGCGTACGTTTACCGAATTATTTTGTAAATTATCGCTTCTACGATGAGTTTATAGTTTAAGGCTACTATTTTTCTATTTAGTGTAGACATATATAATTTTGGTGAAAATGGATAAATCGGGGAACAATTGTTGATGAGAAACCGATGAGAGTAGTATGCTGCAGGCTAGCAGAATGAAATAGACTGATTATATTTCAGTGTTTACTTTACCCGACGAGGAAATTGTCAGGCAATAGTCGGAGATCAGCTCCAAAATCGAAATATTATTTTCCACTCAGAACTATATAACTTTCAGCCATTCTTAATTGTCGCCAATAGCTAAAATTACGTGCTCCTGTTTATGTTAATGCCTTTATGCACTTTTTATGCGCGCTGAATTTCAGCGTTTACATATGATTGAGGTCCGATACTTAAGGTTACAATATTTATTAATTAACTATTACTACTAATTAACTATTGAAAATTCGAGTCGGTGCAGCCGGTGATTGTCTCCGCCTCGGTAACAAATATATATTTAAAATCGACCACGTGCAAGAAACCAAAAAGGGAAGAAACCAAATAGATTCGAAAAAAAACTTCGGAGATCCCGTGCGGAGTGCGCTTCTCGAAAATCGGGCTAAATTAATAACCGTGCGCCGGGGAAACTGGCAAGGCAACTACCCTGGCGTAAAGTGCCTAATTGTCACGCCTCGCCACCAATTGCGTCCCACATCACCCTCTAAAGTTCTGCCCCCACACAAAACTCCCCCCCTTGACAGGAGTTCTCTTCGTGAGCCGATATTGGTGTGGGCCGAGTTTTTTCGCCTTTGGAAATCGTTGGAAAAGTGCACTTGCCCGGCCATAACCCTTGCGCCATCCATAAACTACGCGCAGACCTCTTTGCGCCTTGCAGTTGCGGACCAGAGAGGGTATACAGATCACAGATCACACATCACCCCCTCCCCCGTATGCTCCACTAACTCGCTGTCTGCGACGGCGTAGAAGAATCCGTTATGGATCCGGAACAAGATTTTTTTAGCACAGTTTAGCTTTAATTTTAATTTTCTTTGGTTCCCTCTGAACCCTTCCATTCTTATGTAAATTTCGATAGCAGTGAAAGTTCCCAAAACTTAATTTAATTTGCTGGCTGGAAAAATAAAAACTTAATAATAGTAAAAAAAACCTTTCGAATATCCACCCTTTTCGATTTATCCCCCTCCGACATGGGCACACATTAACATTGTTTCCACAGCTCCACAACGAAAAGCGCCTTTCGGCTAGGGACCACTGTACTGAAGCTGTGCATTGCTCTGTGCACTGTGTTAAATTGCATTGCTCGCATTCCATGCATTTCGCTAATGCATAAAAACGAGGGGGAACGTTGTGAGTTGCTGCGGACACCACAACACTACATTTATACCCGATACTTAGTCAGTATGGCTCTCCTCCGGCAGACGCCGCGAATATTAAACGACACGACAAAGAGTGCGTGCGAGAGAGACAGAAAATCAGTCTGAGCGTGACGTCGGGCGCTGCGTAGCCACTGCAAATTGATTTGTTCCTTTTGGCTATACAAATTATTCGATCTGATCCAGATTCCGCAACCGGATAGAAATGGTCATTCTCTATGATTGTGCGTTTTTAGTTTTCTCGAATCTGCAATATTGTGGATGCAACAGATTTTTGTCCTTTGTGTGGGCGGAAGGGGGTGGGGCGAACCTTTGAGATATACGTTTTATAGTGAGATCTATCAGGAGTGTGGATACCAAATTTGGTTACTCTAGCCTTAATAAACTCTGAGATTTGTGGATATCGCAGATTTTCGTCCTTTGCGAGGGCGGAAGGGGGTGTTTCGAAATTTTGAAACTAACTCGTCAAGGTCCGATATCTCAGGAGTGTGGATCAAAAATATGGTTGCTCTAGCTCTTATAGGTTCTGAGATCCTTGAGCTCACATTTTGCCATTGGCAAAATCGATCATGAAACATGTGTGCTAGAGAGAGACAGAGCGAGAAAGAATGAAATTGTTTTCTTGATTGTGGCTATAATATTTAAACGATTTGGTTCAGATTTTACACTCTAGAACCTATAGATTCTGCGCTTTCAGTTTTCTTGTATCTTTGAAATTGTGGATGCCACAGATTTTCGCCCTTTGTTTACGAGGAAGTGGGCGGGGCAATGTTTTGAAATGTTCTTGTAACAGTGACATATCTCAGAAGTCTGGATCCAAAACATTGTTGCTCTATCTCTTATAGTCTTTGAGCACTAGGCGCTAATAGGGACGGACAGACGGACGGACGGACAGACGGACGGACAGACAGGGCTCAATGGACTCGACTATTGATGCTGATCAAGAATATATATACTTTATGGGGTCGAAAACGATTCCTTCTGGACGTTACACACATCCACTTTTACCACAAATCTAATATACCCCAATACTCATTTTGAGTATCGGGTATAAAAAAATACAAGCCCACTCTCGTCAGCGGGGATAGTTGGTATCATTATCCTTAGCGGATTCCCCTTCCATGAGCGCCAATTTTGAATTTAGAGCGCTCCCTTTTCATCGTCAGGGTCCCGCTCTTCCTCTCGCTGTCGTCCCACCCAACTACTGCTCTCTACTGCTACTACTGCTCTCTGCTGCCGATGGCCGCCGCTTCTGGAGAGATTCAAAATAAATGGTTTCATAGACGGTATCAGGTACCTACACGCACGTCACGTCACGTCACGGAAGCGTTTCACAAGGCGACTTTGTGCTGTTTAATAATCCAGAAAGGAAGAAAGGATTATCCCCGAAGCTACAGACAAATTTTGAGGTTTCTCATACAATCATAAAAGAACAATGATGTGGTGTATCGCATTCAAAAAAAATACAACAGTTGTTTGGAACAACACACAAAGACGATGCAAAAGGTGGTGGAAATAGACACCTCGCATACAACAGTTGGCGTTGCTCTTGACCAGTTGAATAATAATGTGTGGTGGTCTGTTTCCTTCTCCCACAGGACAACAGAGAAAAACTATAGCACTCGACCGATTTGAGTTAAATTTTGAGTGTTTAACGGTTAGTGTGCGCATCGGCCAACATCTATTTTTCATCCCAAACACCTACATACGTCCTTTTTTTTTAAAAGGTACCCGAAGGAGTGGTCTGATCGGGTCAAGATTTGGTATGCTTAATATTTTTACACGCCTTAGGTTTTGACAAAGTTTGATTCAGATTGATTAGTTTTAAGGCAGAGCATTGTGATTACCAAGGTAATCTCGGCAATCTGAGCCAATAAAATTTAGCGCAAATGTGGTGTAATGAAATTTAAAAAGAAAATGTTATGAAAAATATTAAATTGAATAAAACTTTTTCATACACAGATGAAATCCCAGTAGGTACCCCCAGATGATAACCCAGATTTCCGTCCTTTGCGGGGGCGGAGGGGGTGTGGCGAAATTTTGAAACAAACTCGTCAAGGTCCGATATCTCAGGAGTGTGGATACAAAATTTAGTTGCTCTGGCTCTTATAGGTTCTGAGATCCTTGAACTCATATTTTGCAATTGGCAAAACCGACCATGAAACATGTGTGTTAGAGAGAGACAGAGCGAGAAAGAATGAAATTGTTTTCTTGATTCTGGCTATAATAATAATACGATCCATCCAGTCCGATTCTGCAGTCTAAAAGATATGGTCATTCTCTACAATCCTGCGTTTTTGGTTTTCTCGTATCTTTAAAATTGTGGATGCCACAGATTTTCGTCCTTTGTGGGGGTGAAGTGGGCGGGTCGAAGTTTTGAAATATTCGTATAGCAGTGATATATCATCACAGAAGTCTGGATACAAAACATCGTTGCTCTACCTCTTATAGTCTTTGAGTACTAGCAAAGACTATACAATACCAAGATGTTGCATGAGGAACAAATTATTTTTCAATTTTCGTTTGACGCTTCATGGTACGGGCGCGCGGGGCTATTACTTCAATTCTCTTTTACGCTACCTTCGCCTCCGAAATGCTACTCGGCTTCGTCAATGCCTCGGTCAGCGTCGAGTCGGTGTGTCTCGAGAGAAAGAATACAAAAACAAAATATGAATCGTCTGCGCGCCGAAACCGTAGGGCAGCGTGGTCGCTGATGTCTTTGGCGCGGCACAGTGGGGACTCAGCCGAAATAGTCAAAAAATTGTATAAGTGCTTTAGATAAATTTAATGTACGCATCTAATAGAGAATTTTCCAATCGAATTTTCAAGAAAGTTTTGGATGGACCCGCCATAGAACAGCTTTTTGGTCGCCCATGCAACATCTTGGTATTGTATAGTCTTTGGTACTAGGCGCTAATAGGGACGGACGGGCAGAAAGACAGGGCTCAATCGACTCGGCTATTGATGCTGATCAAGAATATATATACTTTATGGGGTCGGAAACGATTCCTTCTGGGTGTTACACACATCCACTTCCACCTGTCGTAATTTCTATGAAGACATCTACATACATGCACATACCATTTTTGAAATATTGTTCACAAGCTTTGGCTTACTAAAATCGTGAATGTACAAATTTGATGGTACGTGAATACCGCTACTGTAGAATAATAAATTATGACGCCAATCGCACCTGAAAAAAATATTAGGGACTCTATGCACCTTCGATAATAACCTAATAATCTTATACCGAACCAAATAACAGTTAAATATATTTTTTTTAAACTAAATTACAGGTTTGAGTACTAAGTACATGGTAATCGCGCCGAAGGGGGTAACCTTGAGGTTCCAAACAACGGAACACAAATTTGTGTCTATAAATTAAGCTGGGGTACCAAAGAAAACTCTTGACTTTTTGACCCTGCAGGTGATACATGGTCTTGGGAAATTTCATTTTTCGGACACTTTTTTCGGAGTTCAAATGTTTATTTAATTTTTTATATCCGGTACTCGCCGGATATGAATGTAAATTATAGTAGAGATTTGACTAGAGCTTTTTAAATTATGCTGAAAAAGATAAATCAGAAATTCTTACCATATTTTGGTACGCTGTACGTGAATCCAAGGTCAGATTTGATTCATCACGTCAGGTTTTTTTTTCTAACTTCAGATTCGCTTGTCCAGCTCACCAAAATACATGGGAGTATGGTACTCTGGTCAGTCGCGCATGGAACTTTTGTTTTTGTGGGGCTGTGTAATCTTTCCAAACTGTTACACTTTATATGACCGAAATGTGTATTCAACCAAACTAACCGAGAGTTCCCGCTTTGCCTTCTAGAATTCCAACTCAATTGGATATCGGTTGGATATAGATCTCTGTGGCACCCCCGATCTTGAAGAATTGATTAGCCTTAAATAAGCTAATATGGACATAGTTACTATCTTTGTTGACAAATTAATTTTGGTGCTGGAGGAAGACGATAAACGGAGAAAGCGCCGCCAATATTGTATAAATCCATACATGCGGGACAGAAATGGAATGAACATGTTTCTTAACGGTCATGCCTGGTTTCGCTAGAGAAAAATGTATCTTGTCTGAATACTAGGACTCATTTTACTTTTTGGCATAACTTGAATATGTCAACCTAGCTTTTTATCAAATTGATAGCTAGATTGATACAAATTTTCAATATACAGATATCGTCGGGCTTTCTAAAACAAAAACAGTTCTTTTAATTCTTTAACTTCAAAATTACGGTACAAAATACAGCTTAAACGTATCAATTAGGCATTGATAGATGCCATCAAAAGGCATACAATTTTGCGAATTGACATGAACATGACTGATAGTGCACTTAAACGTTTGATTTTCAGTACAAAAATTTGAAAACTAGCTTGAAAATACGAATTTTTATTCAGTTTCGAAGAAATCTGTCACCGAATGTTGAAATGGATTGAAAGGAAATTTTAGCCTTCGGTCTATCGAAGTTAACCTTCTGTTACTACTGTTTCCTAATATGTTTCTTGTTGTCAATAATGAAAATTTATTCATTTCAATATTTTTCTTTTGGGAACAATCATCCAAATCATATAAACGTGCACATGTGTATACCTAATTACTTAAACACACATAATTGGCACATCGTAATTTGATTTGATTTGTGATGGACCTATTTCAGGCTGAGGTAAGCTCAGTCACGTCCAGGGGTCAATCCACAAGAAATTTATAGTAATAGATGGAACCTTAAGGGCGGCGTCGGGGGGCGGCCTATCGTAGAGAGGTGGATCTGGGCTGGAGTGAATGTCGCTCGTCGTGTATACGAAGCGGCGTGCGTGGACTCGGGGTGGGGTAGTGTCGGTGACTCGGCTAGTTAGAGTGAACTTACGCAATCTGGTGTAACTTTGATAATTCGACACTTTATTATAATTCTTAGCACTTTAAATGAACTTAGTTTAATTGGTCGCCGGTGTTTCTTGTAGGTTCCGGGTACGACGTCTGTACTCCGAACCGGGTCTCTGCGCAAGCTTCTGGTACACCGTCTGTACTCTGAGCAGGGTTTCTGCGTAAGCTCCTTCTTCGTTCTCGTCGTCGTCTTTTTATAGGCCCGTATTGCTGAGTCTGCGGGTTTGAAAGTGCGCTTCCGCGTCGGGGTGCACTTTGCCGTTCTTGGTGATCGTTGCATTGTATCGAAACCTTTTAGGTTGTGACTCAGTCACAGTACAGTAACAGCATTACCCGTGTTTAGTCATCAGTGGATGCTCAATACCAGGAGGTATTGTAATAAAGTAATAATCATTTGTTGCTATCATCATCTAGTGGTGTTTCGCAAGAAACATTAAATCAGAGCATCGGATCGTCGAGGGCCAACTCACTGCCACGACCTGTGTCACCATCACCATCTGTTAACAGCGATAAGCCTGAAACAGGAGCCCCACATGTAAGTGTACATTAAAGTACATTTAAGTAAAAAAACTTCCTCTAAAATATTTTTTTTTTTTTACACCTGTAAAGATTATTTTAATTTGTATCGCAAAAGGAGCTCCATAAGCCGCAATCTGAAATTTCATGCATTTTAGACTACTCCAGCATGAGGTTTTCCCAAATGTTATCCGATTTCTTTAATTTTTATGTTGTGTTGTCGCTTTATCCATTACATCATAGTGATATCCTTAGAAACAAATTATTTTTAAAACCACACGTTTGTAATGCTTTTTCGGTCAGTGTTACAAAACGGAAACAAAAATTAAATTAAAATAGAAAAACAACTTTTCACATCCAAAACTAAATTTTTGCCGATAAGTTAAATTTATTTTATTTCCATCATTAATTAAGAATTAACAACTTTTTTTATTAGGATAAGCATGAACGCGAGGAGGAAGAACGCAAACGCCGAATTCAGCTGTACGTATTTATATCACGATGTATTTCGTATCCGTTTAATGCTAAACATCCTACGGATATGACAAAACGGCAACCAAAAATTACGAAACAACAATTAGAGATAATTACCCAACGATTCCAGGTAATGAATGAGTTTGTATATACAATTTAGTTTATGATTCGGTATGATACGTTTTACCTGTAAGTTATGTTTGTAGGGAGCAGATCGATGTTTCCACGACGAGATTGATGGTCCAGTGACTCCTAGTAGCCGTCGCAAGAATAGAAAGGCCGATGGGTTTCGTGGTATATATATATATATATATGTAGGTGTGTGTATATTTATTGGGTCGACCGGTTGAAACGGAGGTGAAGTCGTAACTAAACTCTAAGCCTTATGATCTATGCTTTATGCTGCGGTGAGCGCCGTGTGGATCGTGGATTGTGGTCAAGATTTGGTAGGCATAATTTTTTTACACGCTCTTATGTTTTTATAAAGTTTGATTCATTGATTGATTAGTTTTAAGCCATCGCTATCTAGAGTTGCAGCACCTGTAATACCCAGAAAATTGTTACTACGATTACCAAGGTAATCTCGCCAATCTGAGCCAATAGCATTTAATATAAATGTGGCCTCAAAAAATATGTTATGAAAAATATTAAATTGAAATATGAAATCATTATTCGTTTCATCTGGGAAGCGAAAACATCTAAAATCTAAAATCTTATAACCGAAAGCACATAAAATTTCAAGAAAATCGGTGAAGCCATTTCGGAGGAGTTCAATTAAAAACATTGTAACCCGAGAATTTAATATATTTGAGCAATGCTAAAATCAATATTATCAATAAAATCAGTATCAGAAACAATGCCAAAACTGCCTGTCACTCATCTTCCATCGCAATCATCAGAGGCGGTCGCCGTGTCTTCAGACCCTCCTTAGCGCACCGTAGGCTACCCACTCCACAGTCCAACTGGATCAAGTTCTAGTTGCGACTTCCAAGCTGTAGATGGTTTATTTACCGTATGCAACCCAGCTTTCTACACACACACAAACACACACACATTAACACATGGTAAGATATTTAATCATATCATAATTTTCAGTCCGATCAGAACTGGGTTCTCTAGACATTAAAAAATCCATTGACATCCGCTCGACATAAGAGACTAATGGACTTGATGCAACACCCACTTTTTCTACTGGCCTCTTGCAATTGCTTTCAGTGTATAAGTTTATGAGCATTTGAATCAGTGATGGAGGCATTCTAAAAGCAGACCACGTCTTTCTGAGACAATTCGTTTCCAGAGCGGAGATTCCGCCCTTTTAACTGATCTGATCAGGCCTGAACAGCGCGTGAAAATTATCTGATTAAAATTCAAAATTCCCTCTTCAAACCCAGTAAATAATAAAATTTGAACTTGTTGGAAGGTTCAATTTGTAGTTGTAATAATTAGTTATTAAGAATAATACTACAGAACCATATAATTTTTCTGAAAACTATCAGTTATTTCTCACATATTAAAGATGTATTTGTGTCAGCATCTGAGAACAGTGCGCAATCCAAATATTTTTGCGGTCCCTCGAATTCACTTGGTTGTGCAATGTTTGTTTCCGGCTTTGGTATTAATGGGAATTTTTCCATTCCATTGAGCTTCCCAGCGTAATTGAATTGTCTGGAATTCCATTCTATCATATCTAGTGACCGCTCAGCAGACAACGTTTTGAGTTTCTTTGTCATTTGGCGATTTATTCGCTATGTAATAAAGATTTTTATTAGTTAATTTTCTAGAAACAAATAATAATAATAAAATGAGTTAAAAAAATAATACTGTATGAAAGCTAAAAAAAATGAAGAAGAACTGACACAAACAGCAAATAACTAAATCAGCATATGTAAGTATCAAGTAGCTATTGTAATACCAATATATTAAAATTAAAACAATTATTTAAACGGGGCAGCGTTGAAAGTTGCTGCTGCGACAGGGACAGAAAATCAGTCAGAACGTGTCGTCGGGAGTTGCGTAGCTACAGCACATTGAATTGTTACTTTAGGGTATAATAATAGTCCGATCTAGTGTTGTGTTGCTCATGAGTGGGTGAACAAAAATGAGTTGTTCACTTAAGTGAGCAACTGAACATGTTCCTTCCAAACTGTTCTTTTTTGTTCACTTGTTCCTTTTTGCTCACTTGTTCTTTGTTGCTCACTTGTTCTTTGTTGTTCACTTGTTAATTTTTGCTCACTTGTTCTCTTCTCATTTTTTGCTCAATTTTTCTCCTCAAAGGGCATTTTGCGTTCTGGCAGTTGTTGATCATATTTTCTGTTACTTCACACTTTTGAAGTATATTCGATACTTCGAAAGTATAGTGAAATCTAGAATCATTGCAATTTATATTTTATTTACTTTTTTTTTTGTTATAAATGTTTGTTTAATATTGTGTTTAAAATGTGTCAAAATCGGTGGTGCTTAGTGATCTGTGCGTGAACAGTGAACAAATGAGCAACTGAGCAATTTAAGTGAACAAGTGAGCAATAATGAGCAATAGTGTTTACCCAACACTAGTCCGATCTGATCCAGATTCGGCAATCTGGTAGATATGGTCATTCTACACGATTCTGCGTTTTTGGTTTTCTCGTATCCTTAAAACTGTGGATGTCATATATAATTTATGGGGTCGGAAACGATATCTTCTGGACGTTATATACCCCTAACCTCATTTTAAATATCGGGGATAACTACATTTTTCTAAAATATTGACAGTCTTAGCTCTCAGTTGTAAACAACGAACAACAACGGTCGTCGCACCAGCAACTGAGAAAGATCGCATAGACGTCTTTCGATATGACCATGATCCTAATTGAATCATGGCAATCCGGAAGAGAGACAATCAAATTAATAGGCTCTGCACACTAAGCACATCCTGGGGGAACGGTGGGATTGTTTGACAGATGTGAAACCCCGATTCACACTGGCACCATCCACCATCTACTATCCGTCAAAAAGAAGCTGATGAACATAAAATGAAAAAATTTTGGTCTGAATTGCGAAAATTTCGCAATATATAATAATAATATATATAATATAATGGTGCTCGGAGCGTCGGGAGAAGAAAACCATCAACTGAATGGATGCTATCCAATGGTAGTTGGGCGGAAGAAAACTCTCAGTTGTTGGTTTGACGGCCTCTGGATACCGGTCGACCTTCTGTTTCAGAATAGCACGATTTTTTTGGTCTTATTAAGGCTATTATATTGTTTATTTATACCCGACACTCAAAAATACATATGTACATATATAAATATGATTGCTCAGTATCAATAGCCGAGTTGATTAAGCCATGTCAGTTTGTCCGTCCTTATGAAAGCCTAGATCTCAGAGACTCAGAGTTTAGAGCAACCAAATTTGGTATCCACACTCCTGTGTTATCGCACCTGTACAGGTAGGTTAGGTTAAGCCGGTAGCTGGGAAGGGGAGATAAAAACCGCCGCATGTGCCCTTTCTCGTTGCCTGAACCGTGAGAGCAGATTACTGCAGGTTAAGGGCAGTCCCATCCGGAGGCTTGGGTGAATTTGGACAAGGTCCTAGGTTTGATTTAAGACATGTCCGAAATTTCCGCGAGGAAAGGGGGGCCGAAGACGACGGCTTCCGAGGGCCGGGCAATGGTAGAAAAATTGGGGGACTGATTCCTCCTCTTCCTTTGTGAGGAATTGAAAGTCTAGCGGCGTGAGTGCCAATCTGCCAGTGTCCCGTGATGGCTCGAGTATCTGCAGAGCACTGTGCTCTGCTGGGTCAATACAGCTCTGCTGAGCGCTTCTTCGATCGATATAGCCAAATCAATCTTGAGACTTTACAGGAAACGGTTTGCTGCCATATCCTATTTGCATTTTGCTCGAACAATTCGTGCGTGAGGAGCCTGCACGTAGCCAGTGGCATCGCTACTTGCTTCCTCTCTGATAAGTAGACCTCGGATTTTGCATATTTGATTCATCAGCATAGTCGTGGGCTCATTATTAATTTTTGTTCAATTGATTTCCTTTGACTATATTTGAAAAGCACTTGGCTGGGGGATCGGAGGTGCTGCGAGTACGAGTCATCAGAATTTTTCTATCTTAATCCTTTAAAAATATGCAAATATGCAAAATCCGAGGTCTACTGATAAGAGAGGAATCGTTGTACCCGGCCTGCCTAGCTCGTCGGCAGTGTCGTTCCCCTCAAAGTCCCTGTGGTCGGGAACTCATATAAGGAACTGCTCTGCGATCTCAGACAGAGACCTGCGGCAATCATTTACAGTCGCTGAATTCGACAATATCGATATGAGCCATCAGTGTAAAAGTGTACCGTATTTGCAGGTTAGTCAATCTCCCAGTCCTCCCTAGGTGGGATTGATATCTTGGCGTCGAGAGGTGATCACTGGGGGTGCCAACCGCGGACGCTTTCCACAGTTTGGCTCCTCTCATTCTGAGGGCGGAAAGTGTTGCCACCTTCTTTCCCATGAGATCTACAGGGAGGAGGTCCAGAACGGTATCCAGGGCTTCCCATGGAGTAGTGCGTAGCCCGCCAGTTATGCATAGCTCTGCCATACGTTGAACTCTACTGAGTCTGTTGAGACAAGTACTTTTGTCTGGCCACCATACCACCACTCCTGATTGGTCGTATGATGGCGGTGTATAGTCTCCGAACCATATATGGGATCATTTCCCATTTTAGTCCGATGGTTTTTCTGCATGTCTAGAGGGGCCACAGTGCCCCTTCTTTACTCTATCCTTTATGCTCAGTTTCCAATCGAGCTTTCTTTCGAGGATTAGGCCAAGATACTTGGCGTTGGTGCTAAAGACTAGCGCTTCTCCACAGAGTTTTGGGGCCTCTATCTCTAGCAGTTCGTTCACTGCCACGTTCCATAGGAGGGGCGAGAGAACTCCGCTCTGCGGTGTGACTCTGCTGACAAATCTGGTGGACGTTGACGGGCCCAGTGATGCCTCAACCGTCATGCATCTGATCGATCAGGCTGACCGTCCGGGAGTCAATGCCCCGGTCCGAGGGCTTGTCTGCCTTGGGGATAAAAACGACTTAGATCTGAAGCCAGGTGTCAGGGATGCACCCGTGGGATAAGATTTCCTTGTAAATTATTTTGAGCCAATTAATGGCTTTTTGTCCTGCGTGAATCAGCTGGGCAGGGATAATGCCTTCTGGCTCCGCAGACTTATAACTTAAAAACTTTTTATCGCCCAGGCAATGTTCTCCTGGTTAACCAAATAGCAACCACGATAGCATCTAAAACGACAGAGGGAGGGGAGAAGTAGTTTGGTCTGTTTTCATCGCAGCCAGGGAAGTGAGTATTTAGGAGAAGATTTAGCGACTCATTGCTGGACGAAGTCCAAGACTTGTCGGCGTTCTTTAGGTAAGCCAGGGTGGGTGCTGTGTACGAGAGAACTCTACGCAGGTGCGAGGCTTCTGGCGCGTTTGGCTTTCCTAATTTCCTTATTGTAGGTTGACAGACTGGCCTTGTAATCGGCCCAGTTTCAGATTCCACCATGCAGGTGAAAGTTTTAGCCAGACGAGTTCTGGCCTCCCTGGAAAATTCCTCCTCAGGTGGGGACACAGGGAGAACCATTCAAAGGTAATCAGATTACTGAGTCCAGTTTGTCCGCCTGAGGTTCCGAAATTGAACTAGTTTCGGTAATGAAAAGGAGAATGCAGTTTCCACGAATCTGTGGTCCGAGGAGTGTCCTTCCAGGACCCTCCAGGATACAATTTTCCCCTGTATCTCATGAGAGGCAAGCGTGAGGTGGAGGAACTCCTTGCGGTTTTGAATAATAAAGGTGGGGTCTCTCCCCCCGGTTTAATAAGACCGGGAGGGTTGACCATCTAGTGGTCAGTAAGTAACTAAAGAGGTACTTACCCTTTTCGTTTGTGTCAGTGCTTCCCCACTGGCAGTGATGTGCGTTGGCGTCCCACCCCACAATTAGGCCGATGTCCTTGGCCACACATTCTGCGATTATAGCCCGAAAGGGGCGCGTAAGGAAGGGGGTCAGGTTGTTCGTGACCCATGTACGCGGAGCAGATCCTCAGTGAGCGCTCCTGACCTTCGAGGCTCACTGCTGTGTGTTCTTCATTGCTAAAATTTTGGAGCAAAAATAAGTGCAACATTCTTTTTGCAAGTGTGTTGGTACGAAGCAGGAGCTGCAGGGGCTGCAGGAGCAAGAGCGTCAGTGACATTTCTGAGGCTCACCTCCACCATTGTTGTTTTAAGGTCGCTTTCGGGGGACTCCTGCTCCTCCCCGACAACGATGTGGCTGAGAGCCCTGGCTAGGTCGCTCTTCATCGAACCGTAGTCGTCCAGGATGTTGTCCGACACCATGGACGTCGCATCCGACGCCGGGTTGGCCTCCTCAAACGAGGCCTTCGGCGATCGAACTAGTAGGTAGATATGGTAATCTTCTACCCCATCCGTCTTTGCGAGGAGCTCTAGGGACTCCTCATTAAGGACGAGGATGATCTGGTTATATTCGTCTTTGGATATCCTCTGCCTTGGCAACCTTCCAATCGGCTGGCTATCGGATGGCTGGGGCATCTTCCCATTTCACGGCCTGCAGTTTCGCACCTGGATAGACCTCTTTCAGAGGGACCACCGCCTTCATGTAGAGGGCCTTAGAGCGAGCTTCTTGGCAGGCGATGCAGGCTTTCACCTTGCCTTGATGCCACCCTGCGTCCTCACACTTTGGCGGTGGTCCGCCATTCTCCTCCAGTTCTTATAGGAACCGGTCCTGAAGCTCGTTTTCCACCAGATGCCACTTGTCCCGAGCGATAAGGCCGTCCTTGTCCAGGACGCCGATTAGGATCTTGCCCCTCGCCACCTCAGCAAAAGATCGGTTTGTGTGGTGGGTTTTCACCCGCTTGGCTTGCTGGGCTGGCTTGGCTGACAGCAGCAAAGACTATATAATACCAAGATGTTGCATGAAGAACAAATTATTTTTCAATTTTCGTTTGACGCTTCATGGTACGGGCGCGCGGGGCTATTACTTCAATTCACTTTTACGCTACCTTCGCCTCCGAAATGCTACTCGGCTTCGTCAATGCCTCGGTCAGCGTCGAGTCGGTGTGTCGAGAGAAAGAATACAAAAACAAAATATGAATCGTCTGCGTGCCGAAACCGTAGGGCAGCGTGGTCGCTGATGTCTTTGGCGCGGCACAGTGGGGACTCAGCCGAAATAGTAAAAAAATTGTATGAGTGCTTTAGATAAATTTAATGTACGGATCTAATAGAGAAGATATAAGCACTCAAAGTTTAACATTTTTTCAGTGTGCAAATATTTTTTGAACTCATATTCACTAACTAATTTAGCAAGCTGAGACGGCCAAAGGTCCCACTATGCCGCTCCAAAGACATCGGCGATCGGCGACCACCGCTTCGACGGTGCTGAGGCTCGAGAGTCCAGAATTACCGAACAGACGAAACCGATGGGCAGCGGGGTCGCGGTAGAGACGAAGTACAGGCGAAAAGGGAATTGAAACCCCGCGCGATCCCTTTTGCCTTTTGGGTTCTTATGCTAGGACCCGCCATAGAACAGCTTTTTGGTCGCTCATGCAACATCTTGGTATTGTATAGTCTTTGCTAGCAGGATCCTCCGCTGCGTGTTGCCGCTTGTTGGGAGCCTTGGCTGCGCCCTTTCCGGCATTGGCTGGCTGAATATGTGGCAGGATTGAGGCGCCCCACAGTCTCTGCTCAATTTCTTCGGCTGACGACCTGTAGTTGGGGTTCTCGTTGGACAAGATGAAAGCCGCTCGTCTCATGTCCTGGTACGACGGCTTTCGTCCCTGTGGTGCAGAGACGCTATCTGGCGGGGCTCCCATGGGTTTCTTCGGTCCTGGAGCGCTTACCAGCCGCGATTACGCTCTGCCTAGCAGCCACCCCGGTACCCGATTTGCGCTTGGAGCCACCCGACTTGGAAGGACCCGATTGGCTTTTCGAGCCCCCCTCGCTGCGGCGACTGCTTAAAGACGGTGGACCGACTGAGTCTCCTTTTTCGTCTTCCTTGGACTTGGTTTCCTAGACGTTGGTGTAGAGGGGTGGTCTTGTCCCTGCAGTATTTTAGAAGGAGTACCGAGATCCCTTGCGGTTTTATTGTTTTTGATATTTAGAGTAGGGGTCACCCGAGGCATAGCCCGCTTGCCCCGGGAAGCCTAGTTTAAACTGGAGGTCGGCAGGTATTCAGAGTCCGCATATTATCGACCAAGCATTACCTCGGCAATGCATCGGCACATAACAGTATCACCTTGGATTGGGGTAATTTCACTGAGAGTTTTCTTCTCTCAGCCGGACTACCATTCGCCAGCATCCTGGCAGAGACGTGACCGTACCAGGACCTGTTTCCAGCCTCCCTCACGGGGATATTATAGTCGTACTTCCACCGGTGTATACATTTACGGCGGGTGACGGTTCACTCGCAACCCTCTGTGTCCTAGGGGTGTGGGACGCAGGCCGCACCGGAAGAATTCCTAATCGGAGTGTCTGCGCCTTATTCCGAGTTTACAGTTGTGCAACCCGACCAGCCATCCGTTTATCCACCTGTAGCACCCGATGGCTGACGGCTGACGCACCTGCAGGAGTGTATTTCAAAATTTCGCCACACCCCTTTCTGCCAACGCAAAAAACGAAAATAATTTTGAATATACGAGAAAATCAAAAAAGCATAATTGACGAATAAATTTCCCTTATTTTATCCCGATGATCCAACAGACAGGATGTCCGAGTTGTGGTAGAATAAAATCAGTCAATACGGCAGCCCAATCGTAACTAACAACCTATAGCAACCCTACTGAATAATAATAATTCTTTATAGCACATTTTTCTTATCCTGTTGGAATCCAACGTCGACTGTTTTGTTACTACTATTTTTTCTCATGTTGTTGCATTATTTGTTAATCGGTGCAACTGGGGCTCCTTGCGTCTTGCTGGCAACACACACAAAAATTAGTGAAATTGCTGTTCTTAATGATAAAAGTCATAAGTCAAATCTTGCAGTTACAAAACAAGTAGCACATACGTAACACACACACAAATAGATCAAATTTATATGGAATATTTGGGTATAGTTCATAGACAAATACTAAAATCCCAGTTACAAAATGGTGGGTGGGTGGTGGTAGGAATGTGGAAAACACTTTAAGACGTATTTGCATAACTATTATATATCGTTTATAGTTTTAACGTACCTGTTGCACTACTAATTTATGCTTTATCTCCACGGTAGGCATATGAGACAACATGCGCTTCAGAGTCTCATTAGTTTTTTGGGCTTCGACAAATTTGTTTTTTATATTTGAATTTTCTATTGACTGTTTCAATGCGCGCCTGCCAAAACAATTACAATAAATTATTTCATCAGTGTGATTAGCTAAGACTAAATTATTGAATACTCACTTTTGTAGTACTTGTAGCTTTTCAAGCAATTGAAATTTTTTTGGATCTTCTCCTTTTAATATTCGCCATCGATGGACACCGGTAGGCGTCTTAGCATCTTCAGTTAAAGCTCGAATGCGTATACGCTCTTGGTTAAGAGAACGCTGAAGACGCACTATTTCTTTTCTCATATCAGCAGTACTCTTAATAGCATGTTTCAGGCACACACTCTCCGTGTGTAGATTAGAAATTTCTTTTTTCAATAGTCGTATGTCTTCAACTCGTTGATTATATTGTGTAGTTCCATTATCTAGTGCATTTTGCGCAATCTGAAGTTTTTCCTTAATAACTACAATCTCATCATTGCGGCGCACCATTTGTAAACCTACTAAGTTTCGTTCTTTTCTCATTTCCTCCAGTTCATGTCCCATTTTCATGAACTTCAGTTCATCATTTGATATAGTCTTAGATAACATCTCATTCTTTGCTTTCATTTCTCGCATATCCTTTCTCAAGCCGGTAACCAGATTTTCTTTATTTTTAAGCTCAGATTGTAGTTCTTTAATGTGATTGTTGAGATGTTCGATTTTCAAATTTAATGAGTTTATTTTCACTTCGTTGGCGCTTATTTCAGTGGTGAGCTGCTGAATTTGATGGCCAGATTTCTATAAAATCGAATAATAATTGGAAAGGTTATAAATATTATAAAACTATATAATTTATTGGTATATATTTTTTCTTACGGCTTGAAGAATTCGAAAATTGTCCCTTTCCTGGGTCGTATTCTCTAAATTACGGTGCAGCATCATTTTTTCAGAGTGCACAGATTCTAATTGCTTTTTAAAATTATGAACCTCCCGTTGCTTTTCATGTAACTTTTCAGTAAGATCGTTTACCTGACTGGTCTTCAATGATATTTGATCTGCATAGAAAAATAAATTATTATATTATTATTAAAAGTATTACCTAATCAAAGCTAGTGAAGCTATAATGCAACTCAGTATTCAATAGCCAATACGCATATTCGAAGCTGAAAAAGCCTTTTCAATCGAGTCATTGGGCGCGTTTCTTTTTCAAACCTTCGAAGCTTTGTGACTCGCCCAAAAACAGTTACGTCAAATTGGAATAACTCATAATTATTCATAATATTCATTCATATTATTATATTATCCAATACTCAAAAAAATATTAAAGTATTAAAAGGGTGTATTAGTTTTGTGTTTCTTTTTTTTTTTTTGATAAGATAAATATGAATAAAGTTTAGAATAAACTATCACAGACATGAAAAAAAAAATACAATTATGGTGTTGCACTGTTACTTTTGAAGCAACTTCTGTGGTTTTTATTATGTAAGGAAAAAAGCGAAAGGGCTTCCGAAATAAATAATAATATACCAGCAATAATATACCACCAATACCAGCAGCATAGACATTAGTTATAGGGTAGATAAGATAAGAAGGTTGGTTGCCAGGAGCTCCTGCGGAACGACAGTCAGGTATTATGTAGCAGGGCCCGGCCAGGCACTCTATGCCCTTCCTGTTAGCCGTCAACTGTCTCGCTCATCCACTGCATCCCATTTTTGCGTTTCCTCCAGCATTACGCTCACTAACTCTTTCGTCGTTTGCTTCAGTCAGCTCTCGTGCCCGTCTGCAAATAGCTCTCGCTGGCACATTCACTTCGCACATAAACAGTTACGGTTCAGCAAATATACGTGTTTTCGGCTTCGATTTCGCATTTTTTCGTTGCACTTTTGCTACCTGCAATTGCCATCTTTGATTGCAAAAACTTTCATCTGCGCAGTCGGCTCGAAAAACTGAAAGCTGTTTCGTGGAGAGTTTAGCGTAAAATATGCGTAGCGTGATGGTAGCACACGACCGATTGTAGGAGCAGGATTTTCATTGAGGCTTTAGCATTGAGGACTATTCTTCAGCGTGAGTTGTACATGCATTCTCAGACGACGCATTTTTTCCCGTTTCGGATATGCCCAAGTGAATCCAAATCCTTTATGTATATGGGCAGTCGATCACGCTTGCCTAACCTGAAGCATTTCAAGTTTTCGCAACCTAAACAAACTTCTAGTCCATGTTCACAGCTGTCATTGATAGTTAAACCGAGCTGGCTTCTATAGAGAAGTTATTGTGGCTAACTACAATGCAGCATTAGATAGATATTCTCAAGAAAACTATAGATATTTGGGCTAGCGCGTGGGTATATATCGGCTGGCAAGCTGCGTGCATATGCGGTTTATCTGTTTTAAGCTTCAGCTAAGCCTAAGCTAAGTCGTGCACTGTTGGACTTAGGATCGCAATTACATTTTGTATCTACTCGTCAACTTTGAAAACCCAAATCGCTTAACGCAACAGCTTCTCAACAGAAGATTTTTCGGTGGATCTCGTTCTGAAACCGCGAATTACAGATTTCAGCACTATCATCATTGCCGTCGTTGTCCAGAAGATTATTCCAGCAATTAAAGCAAAATAGTAGGCATTTATAAATGAGTACCTCGATCATATGTCTCTGGTGCTCAAGGAAGATAGGGACAAGTGCAAATATTTCTTGCCACATCATTGCTTCATCACAGAGGACAGTTTCACAAGAAAGCTAAGGGTCGCATTCGAAGGCTCTGAAGCTACCACATCTGATCTTTCGTTAAATGATCTGCTTGTCTGGTCCGAGCATTCAAGCCAAGATATTTCACACACTTATCCGTTTTCGTACATTTCGTAAAATGTATAGGTATGAGCGTGTCTCAATGCGTGACATACAAATCTTCAAATTAAAATCAGTGTTCTAGGGGAATAAGCCTTCATCGTTTTTAGCTAATCAAGCTATGCATCAACTAGAGATGGATGAGTCGTCTTCATATCCATTGGGGTCGGACACCATTCTATAGGACTTCTACGTGGACGACATGATATCTGGAAGAAATTCGGTCGAGGAAGTGCTGGATATTATGCGTCAATCTACGGATCTTCTTGCTCGACGGAATTTCCATTTGCAAAAATGCTGTTCCAATTCCCCTGATGTGCTTCGTAAAGTCCCAGAGGCCGAAAGGGACATTTTTCTGAAGCTGGATGATGACAGGGATGTAACCAAAGCACTTGGGCTCATTTGGGAGCCCAATAACGACAACTTTTTATTTACACTTGCTCCTCAAATCTGTGTTGGTAAGCAAACTAAGCATTCGGTGTTGTCATCCACTGCACGGTGATATGATCCTATGGTTTTGACCGGGCCTACAGAAGCAAAAATATTCATGCAGCGCATGTGGACAGACGAGTTACATTGGGATAAAAGTCTTCCTCAGCCTTTGGAATCGGCAAGGACTGTGTTTTGCTAGGATTTCACTACTGTGTCTGCCTTCGACTGCCTAATCCATTGTTCATCGGAATTAACTGTGGTCCTCTTTTGCCTGCGAGACGAATCATCCAAATTTAACGTTTTTATACCGGTTACTCAAAAGGAGTATTGGGGTATATTAGATTTGTGGTGAAAATGAAATCGTTTCCGATCCTATAAAGTATATATATTCTTGAGTTGTGAGTTGCTGCGGAGACGGCACCTTTACATTTATACCCGATACTTAGTCAGTATGGCTACATTAAACGATAAAGAGTGCGTGCGAGAGAGACAGAAAATCAGTCAGAACGTGTCGACGGGCGCTGCGTGCCACTGCAAATTGATTTGTTACTTTTGGCTATAATAATAATCCGATCTGATTCGGGTTCGGCAAGATTCGGCAATCTGGTAGATACGGTCATTCTCTATGATCATACGTTTTTGGTTTTCTCGTATCTTCAATATTGTGGAGCCCCCAGATTTTCGTCGTTTGCCGGGGCGGAAGGAGGTGTGGCGAAATTTTGAAACAAACGGATACCAAATTTTGGTTGCTCTAGCTCTTATAGTCTCTGAGATCTAGGCGCTAATGTTTTGCGCTAAGCAAAGCCGGCTATGATACGTGTGTGTTAGAGAAATATAGGGCGAGAAAAAATTAAATTGTTTTCTTGATGCTAGCTATAATAATGATACGATCCAATTCAGATTCTGCAGTCTAGAAGATATGGTCAATCTCTGTGATTGTGCGTCTTTCGTTTTAGTCTTTAATATTGTGGATGCCACAGATTTTCGCCCTCTATGGGTGCGGAAGTGGGGGGGCAAAGTTTTGAAATATACTTGTAGCAGTGACATATCACAGAAGTCTGGATCCAAAACATCGTTATTCTAGCTCTTATAGTCTTTGAGCACTAGGCGCTCAAGGGGACGGACGGACGGACAGACAGACATTGCTCAATCGACTCGGCTATTGATGTTGATCAAGAATATATATACTTTATGGGGTCGGAAACGATTCCTTCTGGACGTTACACACAGCCAATTTGTACCACAAATCTAATGTACCCCAATACTCATTTTAAGTATCGGGTATAATTACTAAATACGGGAAAGTACGAGAGTATTAGTAATTGGTGGATATAATGTAAAGGGAATCAAAGACCGAGCAGGCACAACGGTATATAGTTTCAAGTTGGTATATAAAATAAGTAAATTGGTTATTTGAAAAACATCGATTTCCGCAAACATCGACGGCTAGTTCTCAAAAAAAAAAAGTGCTACAGCCAAAAATTTAAAAATTGTACCACACCCTCTTCCGCCTATGCATGTGTATGGTCAGTGCATCTATAGATGCTTGTATGTTACGAACCTTTGTTTTCTTCGGGGCAAGGCCGGCTAGCCAGTCATCCCAGGGCTGGGTACTTCCCAAGCCCTCAGGTCGCACAATATACCAACTAATTGGACATCTCGAACAAATTCAAACAACAAAAGTAACAGACAAAAAAACAAACTGCAAACGGACTCGACAAACAACATTACAGTAACTTCTTTCAACACAGACGTGGACCAGGTCGAGGTGTCGATGTTTTTACCTCTAACGTATCCACCCCACCTGAGATCCGAATCACGACGTTCTGGATCTCCCTGCCATGTGCAGCAGCCTTACCCTCTCGTTGCTGTGGCTCCTCTTCCCCCCATATGAAACGCTTAGAAATTCATTTTCTTCTTTATAATTTTCACTTCAATCCCCTGCTTCTACACGTTATCATCGCTACACTAAGCCTGCCTATTCATTCTCCCTTCATCTTATCATTACGGGCGGTTAATAAATAATTAATATAATAAATATAAATAAATTACATATAGATATAATATGGGCGGACTTAACTTAGGGGATTAACATATACTGGTTATGAATTAGTGGACTGTATAATCGTTTATATCTTGAGCTTATTTATTTTATTGATTATTTAATATTGGTGGTTATTTTACAAGTATATTACAAGAACAGCGGGGGGATCGTTTCTGCGGCGGTACAAAGTATGCGTGCGGGCGGTTTCGTCTAGAAATTTCTACTGACTCAACTCCGCGAAAAGAAGTCGAGCTAAAAGGGAATTGGAAGATCAGGGGATGCGACGGTCCAATGCCAAACGGTACACATCGTTGTGTGCGTGTGCAGCTGCGGGCTTGGCTATGCGTGCGAGAACATTACAGTTATGTTTTGGACACGAGCAAAACAACAACACAGCTATGCGCGTAAAAATAGTTACTTAGGCGGTGTACTACAATCATGAGCGTGTAAATAGGTCAATCGCAATATACATGAACATTGAATTAAAAACTACGAGGCTCATTTCTCACCATACCGGCCCCCCTGAACGACTGTTCAGAACAAGGGAAGCACAGCAAGTTTGGTAATAGGCCTCTTGTACACTCCTCGGGCGGTTTTGACGGTGACCACTCGAACCCTCTCGTCTTGGCCAGGATGAACTTCGGTGATTCGCCCAAGCAGCCACTTGCTAGGCGGTTGATTTGGCTCCTTCAGTACCACAAGAGTGTCCACGGTTATGTCGTTGGACTCCTGCTGCC